TTAATATTGTATGAAATTCTCACATGCTTTTCTTTAAAGAATTTTCTACTCCTGCTCGCACTTGGCAAAACTATGTGTACCTTTTCTAAAAAAACTCTTGTATTTTTGACAGTTTTTAGACTGGGAAAACAGTTGACTTATGAAACTGTTTACTAACACTGGTGACACATCCCTTATAGGCAAAAAGAATTAGCACATATTCCACAAGAAGATTAACTAGAAGTAAATGTCCCAAGACTGTGTCACCTATTTCCCTTCCAGTAGGACACGGACTTATGGCTAAGCCTCTGCACAGCTGCAGCTGATTAGTGAGAAGCAATGAGATACTGGTGAGATGGGACACAACATTGCTGAAACAATTCAAACTGCTGTTCACAACAAGGTCATAAATCCATTTTAAGGAATAAACCATAATATTTGGGGGGGGTTGTGCTGAAACTTTTTAAAGTCAAAATTTCCTTTAGAAAAGTTTCTTTGGGTGTGTTGATGGAATAGGGAGATGTTACGTATCACCTCCTGTCCCTGCCCCCCACCCCACCCCCACAAAAAAAAAAAAGAGAGGTGGGGGGGTGGGAAGAGAGACAGAGATCATTTCACAATGATGAGCTCACATCTTGTACAGTGCCCTGTGATTTCCCTGCATTAGGGCACTGCTGGAATTGGATGGTCACAATCCATGATTAGTACTAAAGTCCAGCTGGGGAGACCAGTGTGCAGAGAACAAGCACCCCAGTCTTCATAAAGACTCAACATTTCAAAAATCAAACCCTTCTGACTTCTGTCAGTAACATTTGTATTTTAGGGCTGTATTTTGATATAATTTCTCTTTCAACAGCCCCTTCCCATGCTTGACTTGGAGATTTTTTTGGTCTAGATAGACAGCATTCTGAAGGAGTACTTTCAGCCAGTCTTCGCTTTTCACTTAGGCTGGAGCATCACCAGGTGGGATTAGTCTGCTCTTTTCAAATGGGAGATGACCATCCCATTTCATCCCAAGCTCTAGTACCGAGGTGAATGCACTACTTATTGAACAAACTAATTAATAACTGAAATGTTTTGTCTGCCTGTTTAATAATTGAAGCTAACAGTATACTTCAGCTAAAAAGCCTCTTCATTAAATGGAACGTAACTTATTCCCCTACCTCTCCCTCCCCTGTGCTCTCTCCTACTGTGCAGGCATTTGCAATTAAAAATGATGCTTCTTTTTCTGCCATGTTTTTCTGTAGCATCATAAATGCAGAATGTCTCAGTTGCAAAGCTGCTGCTTTAATGCTTGTCCAACAGAAATTGCAATCTTACATCCCCTCAAGGACATATTATCCCTCTGTAACTCTGTCTGCTGCTTGATTCCTGCCCTTCTTTTTCTGCCCAGTTTACAGCTTGTTACAAGATCCTTATGGTATCTTACTACAATCTTGTAGAACACTCAGTAACACAGAGTTCCAGTTTTCTAGAGCAAGCTCTAGGCACAATTGGAATACTAATAGCAGATTATAAGAATAAACAGAGCATTGCCCTGACAAACAAATAGGGATGGATATGAGAATTATCACATACCTTGAAGCTGTACTGCTTGGAAATTGCTACAGTACTGTGGGCCAAGCTTATTAATCGCCTCCATGGTTTCTACAGAGATGGCTTCTTCAAACAAGTATGTAGGGCCAAGGCGCCAGGTCAAGGAGGATTTCTGTTTCCAAATTCGAGGAGTAGCTATGTACCCATAGACATCAATAAAGGAAGAGGGTTCCATGGAAATATAACTACCTGGTAAGGGCTGGAGATACTGCATCTGCAACAGAGGAAGAATTCACTGAGGGGACTCAATACACTCAGGGTGCCTTAAGGCCTTGTCCCTGGAAGGTACTGCCTGCCACCTCTTCCCTCAATGAAGTCTCAATCAGCTGTGCAACATAATTATTAACTACTGTTTAGAAACTGGACTTTCAGAAGTATCACAAACACAAGCATTTTGGAAAGTTCAAGGCTACCTTTTCTTCAAAAAACACAGTCAAAATAATTTCAAGTGTTGGCAAAGAAAAACTCTATCTTGACCCCAGTCTTATTTTTCCTGTTCTTAACTTCATAACTCAGACTGTGACGTTCAACACAAAAATCCAAGTTACAGATCGCACCTTGTACTAGGCACGTAGAGAATAAACAGGTTTTGAAGAGTGTAGAGTGTCCAAGTGCATCAGTTAGCTTCAATGAAAGTGACATAGTTTAGGAAATTGGACCATTTATTTTTGGTACCAAAATAAGGATTCAGCCTCCTAAACTGAGTCTATTATTTTATTTAAAAGTGGACAGCTCTAGTAGGAAATAGTTGGAATTTTTTTGGTAGGAACTATATTGTACTTCAGGGCTTAGCCTTGCCTTTAACAATTTGCTGTTAGGACGAGAGTCTCCTAGCGTTTACTGATCTCTGACTACTGGGATGTAGAAGACAGGGCTGGTCAATATTAGGAGGCAGGACTTGACACCCGAGTGAACAAATATTAGGCTTGATACAACACAATAACACAGCACCCCCAATCCCCCACCTCTACCACCCAAAAATAGCTTTTGGTATTGTTAACAACCTTTGTGCAATTCTAATATCTTACACAATCTTTTCTTCACTGTACACATCAAGATGAAGGCTTGCATCATGTCAGAGACCCCAGTACTGGGACTATCTTTTATCTACTAAAGGCTTGTTTTATTTATTATAAGCTGTTTCACTGTATGTTAAACACATTTACTGTGAATTCTTTAATCAATTGCAATGCTTAGGCCTAGTTTTATTGATGACTTTCAGTCTCATTTGAAGGAAGACAAATTAAATTAAATTTTCATTCTTGAAATGGATATAGGTCCCAAAAGGCATTTAGAAGACAGATCATTTTTCTCAAGTATGGGAAAGAGAATATTTGGAATTAAACAGGTTGCTTTTACAAGGGAAGTATAAAACACACAAGCGGGCTTTGCATGTGTTGATATTGATTTGAAATATGGGAACAAGAAGGAAGAGACCAAGGTTACAAGTTTCAATTAATAAAAGGAGTCTATTCAAAAACAAAACCAAAACCCACCACACCAATCAGAGCTGCAATAGAAATAGGTTGCATTTTCAACATTGCCAGCCTGGAGCATTCAAAATCCAAAAATCAAATCTCAGAAATAATTTGAGATTAGCTTCAAAACCAGGAGCATGATGATAATTATTATATTAACCGGGGCTCTTCTCATTTATCCTGTAGATTATGAACCCTTCAGGTGCATTTGGACTGCTTTCTCGTGATATTTCATGCAACCTGAAACTGACTCCTATGCAACAAGATCACAAGAAATGGATCATTAGAGAAAATACTAGCTATACCAACATCTGCAATGAACTCATGAGTTGATATCATTGAAATTTACAAATTTCTCCTAACTGAAACATTTCTTTCATTTCTATTAACTCAAAAAAGAAGTATTATTTTAATTCAAGAGCTATCTCACACACTGAACAGCTAACCTGGAGGAACATCTATCTGTTCCTGAATGCTTAGAGTGCCAGTGGGAAAAAGGGGACTGAGTCATCAGCTGACTGTTCAATGGCTGTAACAGGAAGAGGACAGCTTGAAACAAGCCCATGTAAGATGCTTGAGGAAATTCCATTCAGCTTGGGATTCTTGCAAAGAGCTAGCCAGTCACAGAAGCTTATTTCTCTGAGACCTTTCCCCTTTTCCAGGCCTTTCTTCAAAAATGGAGGGTCCCTACATAACTCATCACATTTGCAGGTTTTAGCCTAAATCCAAAGCACCTTCAGTTTAGGGTTCTCCGGTCACACCTTAATGTGATGTACTTTTTATAGCTGACAACTTCTGAAAATCTTAGGTGCAAACTGAGAGATCCTCAAAATCACTAGTCAGTTGAGAAAATTTTGGCCTAAAGGTACAACTGAATTTCATCAACATAACCCTGAGCTACCTGCAAACTAGGTAACCCCAACTCTCAGAGGAGTGTAACCACTCAAAACTGCCCTGGTAATCTGCACACTGAGGGGGGAAAGGGGAACTAGTTCAAAGCATCAGTATAAGCTGATAACATACTTCTGAAAAGCAGCACAAATACACCCTGGTTTGTATGGATTTCTGACTCCACTCATGCACAGCGCAGAGCGGCACATCTTATGTATGCAAATCACCATGCTTTGAGTCTCTCAGGTTAATACTGAAAGTCATGGTACGTGCATGAGGAGATGAAAATGAAAAGCAATGAAAGGCAAATGTCAGGCACAAGATCTGTGCAGAGAGTATTTACCTTTGCAGAGCCAAGCATCTGACCATTTATATAAGCTGACACAATGCAGGTCTTCTTCGCTTCCTTAGCAACTGTCACTGTGAGATGATGCCACTGGCCAGTGACCAGCAGCTTGCCACAGCCAAACTGGACTTGCCCTGGGAATGGGGAGGGATTTAGGACCTCGCCCTCAGGTTCCATGATATCTGTAACAGGAAAAACAGGGGACAGTCAACAAAGTCTCTCACTTTCACCCACCTCTGGAACACAGCTATCAAATGTGACACAAAGAACTTGACACTCTGTGGGTGTAGAGTGATTTGGTGCTATTCTGGTCAATGTCTTTAAAACATTCCCTGATGGTCTATTATCAGGACCTGAGACTTGCACAAGTCTCAAGATTCCTCCAGCACACAACGGGCCATATGCCCAAATAACACCTGCTAGCTGCCTCAATGCTGCAAAACTAGACTGGACTAGGACAAAGCCAACATATTCTCTAAGAGAACCCCTCAGGATGTTCAGTGAGTTAGCCGACAGAAAAAAATTCCTAGCGAATACATGAGATGATAAAGCTCCTTACATTAATTTCTAGTTTTTATGAAAAAAGGTAAGCTGGGATTTTTAACGTTATCTAAGGGAATCAGAGCACTCACACAATGTTGGCTGTGCATGAAGAAATCCCAGGTACTATTCCCACTCCATTCCTGACCTCCTCTGCAATGTTCAATCACATTCACATCTGAACTACCTACTGTACTCAATAAGGACAAAGAGATAAATGTCAACAAGGAAAAAAGATTAATAGGCTGGCATGACAGAAAACATTCTAAAAGTGAGGAGAGGAAATAAGCTGTTTCATTAGCAAGCTAGATCACTCCCAAACTCCTCAGTGCTACTCTCCAAGCCTGCCTACTGCCACACAGAACAGGCAGGAACCAGTTGGTTCAAGTCCTGTCTCCACAAGGGCACACAACCATATAACTGACATTCAAAAGTTTTCCTTAGAATATCTGTAAGTTTTATCATATATTGCAGGGCACAAAATAATTCTCAATGCCTACAGCTAACTTAAAACTGAAATATGACCAGAATTACAACCACAACAGGCTGCCAGAAGGAAAACGAAGAGATAGAAAGTCTCATTAATATCTTGGGTACTTATAAAAGGAAATTTGTTAATGAAAAATTCCAGATATTCAGAGGACACAGCACTGCAGCTTGACGGAGAAGAACCTTACCAAGCGGCTGGAATTCTACTTCTTCTGTGGAAATGACCAAAGAACGGTCCTGGGGGAAGAAGCTTACTGAAAAGCAAACAAATTCTTGCTCTGTTCTTGACATGTGCCTCACAACAGTGAGGAAATGGAGTGGGTGACTGTTGTGCACCAAACCAAACTTGCAAACCAGAAACCAGCAAGAGAGAGTCAGGCCGCTCGAGGGAGGGAACATTCTGGTGCCTGCAGACAGGAAACAAAAAGGCAGTAAGGAAGCTGGTTTCCCTGTGTAGATATTAGCAAACTGCTTTCCGTTTCATTTGTAGCCCAAACCATGTAAGAACCAACATTAGAATATGAGGTTTAAGTTCTGTTCTGTTCTATTAGATTTCACTGCCCATCTTCAATATCATAGAGACTGCACATGTGAGTGTGGGCACATGTATAAATGACCTAAAATTGACTGATGAGAAATAACTACTAGATCTCCATGTCACAGAGCTCATCATTTGGGAAGCACTGAACCAGAAATAAGTTTTCTCAAAGTTCACAAAGTTCAGGAAGTAAGAGGTTTCCCAGTTCACCCAATAGAGGATTTTGATCTATAGGAGAATCCCATCTCATTTCTATTCCTTCCGTGGGAGATTACCCTAAAAATCTGGTGGCTCTTACTTGTGAAGACTGTTAGCAGCCTGCTCTAAATTTGTATTGCTAATGTTAATGCTAATACATCACACTATTAAGCTGCATCTGATACTGCATTTTGGTGAGCAGTCCGAGTTATACAGCTCAGAGCTGGACTGGGACACAGAGGCAGAAGTATGAAAACACTGTGTTGAAACACAGAGCTTATTTGCAGCCATTTCTTACAAATGTTGAATGCTTTCAGTGCAGCTGAAAAGTCAATGCCTTCAGGAAGCTGTACGTAAGTCAAAGTGCTTACCCATGCCAATTCCTCCTGAGACAGATTGCTCTGCACTCGGTCCCATGACAGTGGCCAAGGTAGGGATGTATAAACACCTACAAAAGCAAGCACCCATTCATCAGAAACATAAAATCATCCCTGAATATCACCAGTGAATTAATACTGCAGAATCATGGTAGTAAGGCAGAGTCTAGGCTATCAACAATAAGGCAATAACAAAATAGGCAGCAATAGGGCACAAGGATTCACTAAGATGCAGAGAGAAGTGATTAGTTGCAATATCCAGAATAAGGGCTTGGAGACTGCAGAGCAGCTAAAGAGAAAAGCAACAGCAGCAATACCCGTATCCTTCCATGGACATGTCAAACTCCACAAATGATGGAGCCAAAGCAGTGCTGCGGAGCTGGAAGTTTCGAGGTGACGTCATGGAGATAAGACTCATTGCAGTCTGGAGTGCCAATGCAGATCCCTTAGACACCCAAGGAGAGCTGCTGACAGGCACAACTGTCTGATGATCAGTTTTATTGTCCACCATGTCCTCTTCTGAACCTACAAGATCAACATAGTGCCTAACCAGATCAGTGCCTGCAATACTTTTTTCAGTCACAAGCTTTGCCTGTATTCAATTCATCAGTGCTAAGAACAGCACTGCATGCTCTTCAACTAACACATCCTCAGCAGCCTGCAGAAATCCTCAGCAATACACAAAAATATTACACTGAAAGAGTTTCAAAATGGGAGGCTGGCAGGAGAGATGAGCTTACAGAAGTGACAGCCATATTTTCTCCCCACACATCTTCAGGCAGCTCCAAACTTCACGTCTAGTAAAAAGGGATCCTGACCCATTGATTCCATTTTTCTTATACACAGCCCATTCAATTCTGCCATAACAGAACGGTTACAACCAACACATGGGAGACGATCTGAAGAATGACTGCAGAGAACATAAGACCCAAATTTGCACCATGCTGTATCAGGTGTCTCATAAGAATGAGAACAGTTTAAGCACCAAATACTACTACTGTAGCCTTTCACCTGCAAAATATGTTAGAACAGAGAAAGGACTTGGATGGAAAATGGCCTGTATAAGCAAGGCAGACTACTAGGATATCCTAGGGATTACAAAAAGCAGTGCTCTTTATTCACATCTTTATTCTATTTCTATCTATAAAACACAGGGAAAACATGCTGCAAACCCAGGAGACCCTCCCTTTGGTTTGTGGAATATGATTAGTATTTTTATAGATCACTTCCATGACTGATCCAGCAAAGTCTGAGTTTATGTCAGCATCTGGCTTCAGCACAAGTATTATAATTTGATCTCTGCTTGTCATTAGATCAGCTTTCAGTGTCTGTCAAGTACCACTCAACCTGGGCAATACCCAGTCTAAAACATCCAGGCATACGCTACCTTCCCTGTGACTGTCTTGAAGCAACCTACTCCAACAGCAGTTTCCTGTCATTACAGTGACACCTATAACTCAGCCACTGTATCAGCAACAGGCTGTTCATTGTGTGCTTACCTTCATTCCAAGCTGCGTTAGCTGAATCACTCCTCTGACATGCAAGGGCCTTGGTCCTCTTTGTGCTGGGCCTGGAAGGTAATGGTGGAGAACCTCCCAACCAAAGAAATTGCCTAACATGAAAAAAGGAAGAAAGCAACAAAAAAAGGAAAACAATCAAGCTAAACACTTTGGAGTCATAGCAACCATGCAAATACAGCTCAGCCCTCTGGAGACCTACTTTCTTTCTATGCCTGAGCAACCTAGTGGCCTTCTGTGATGGAGAGACTACATCAGTGGACAAGAGCTACGGATGTCATCTATCTGGATTTCTGTAAGGCCTTTGACACAGTCCCCCACAACATCCTTCGCTCTAAATTGGAGAGATATGGATTTGATGGGTGGACTATTTGATGGATGAGGAATTGGTTGGATGGTCATATCCAGAGGGTATTGGTCAACAGCTCAATGTCCAGATGGAGATCAGTGACAAGTGGTGTCCCTCAGGGGTCCATACTGGGACCAGTACTGTTTAATACCTTCATCAATGACAGACAGTGGGATTGAGTGCACCCTCAGCAAGTTTGCAGATGACACCAAGCTGAGTGGTGCGGTTGAGATACCTGAGGGATGGGATGGCATCCAGAGGGACCTAGACAAGCTCAAGAAGTGGGCTCATGTGACCCTCATGAGGTTCAACAAGCCCAGAGCAAGGTCCTGCACCTGGTACAAGCCTTGGTGTCAATACAGGCTGGGGCACGAAGGGATTGAGAGCAGCACTGCAGAGAAGAACTTGGAGGTACTGGTGGATGAAAAGCTGGATGTGCACCAACAATGTGCAGTCACAGCCCAGAAAGCCAACTGTATGCTGGGCTGCATCAAAAGAAGCGTGGCCAGCTGGTCAAGGGAGGTGATTCTGCTGCTTACTCTGCTCTGGTGAGACCCCACTGGAGTACTGCATCCAGCTCTGGAGTCCTCAGCACAGGAAAGATATGGACGTGTTGGAGCGGGTCCAGAGGAAGGCCACAAAAACGATCAGAGGGATGGAACACCTCTCCTATGAGGAAAGGCTGAGAGCATTGGGGTTGCTCAGTGTGGACAAGAGAAGACTCTGGGGAGACCTTACTAGGGTCTTTCAATACTTAAAGGGGGCTTATAAGAAAGATGGGGACAGGCTTTTTAGTAGGGCCTGTTGTGATAGGACAAGGGGTAATGGTTTTAAACTAAGAGAGTAGATTTAGACTAGGTACAAGGAAGAGATTTTTTTACAATGTGTGCTGAAACACTGGAACAGGTTGGCCAGAGAGATGGCAGATGCCCCATCCCTGGAAAAATTCAAGGTCAGGTTGGATGGAGCTCTGAGCAACCTGATCTAGTTGAAGATGTCCCTGGTCATAGGAGGGGGGGTTGGACTAGATGACCTTTAGAAGTCCCTTCCAACCCAAACTATTCTATGATTTCTTATTGGATACCAAATTTTAAAGACATCCCAAATAAAACTGAAGGAATATTTTCCATTGTATCATCACGAATATTTGTTTTGCTTTACACTTCCCCTTTCAAGATTTTCCTATTGAAAAAAAAAATCAAAGGTCTCTCTTTTTAGGCCATACTTTTGAATACTACTAATTTTTCAGAAAAAAATCGATGTTTGGGTTTTTGGGGTTTTTTTTGTTTTGTTTTTTTAAGAAATTCTGTTCCATTTTTGAGTAAAATAAAACCAATATTCCACTGCATATCCAGCTTCATCTGCACTCTGATCTCTATTAGATACTCTCATGCCTAGTGTTTGTTAGCATTAAAGAAGAAAGTACATCCTCAAAGTAGAAACAACAGAGACTGAGAAACAAGACGACACTTTTTATTTCTGCATCTGTCATTAACATGGATCCAAGCTAAGAGAAAGCCACTTTTACTCTTTAAGAAACAGCTTCTCCATACGAATACCAGGAATAACCCTAGTTGGTTTGCAATTACTTAATTAGTTACTATGCATAAATGGCTTTACAACCCCTGCATAGATGATGCAGCAGAACACTATGGACTCATACTATCTTCAGTAAGTCATTTAAGCTTATAACCTGTGATCAATATGTAAGTAGTATTAACTGAGACTTGAAACAAAAGGCTGAGTCTTGCTGAAGCAGAGCACTACATGAAGTATCCAATTATTACACAAACTTAGCAAAATTTGCACCACTAAAGCAAATTGGTTCCATTAGATACAATGTGATACCTTAACACGTCTGGCTCAATAGCCTGTGATGCAAGCTTCTCAAACACTCTAGTGAGGGGCAGATGCAGGGGATGGCTCTCACTGCGGAAGGCATCCTGACAGGAAGTTATAATGGTGCTCAGCAAGCCAGATCCACACATCACCTGGCGACTCTTCTCTGACTTCACCAGGGACTGGATATGATCAACCACAGCACACTGGATTTCCTGTGAAAGCTGAAACAGACACAGAACTGAAGTCAGTAGGCTGGAACTAAAAGTGCACATGGTGACTGGGTTTTTTTTTTTTCAGTTGTCAAGTCTGTGGGTGTAAAAATCTGGCCCAGAAAAGAAGCCTCTAAGGCCAGAGGCTCAAGTGCAACCACATGGCTGTTCTATAAAGCTCTGCACTTGACCAGTGTGCATATATCCATCTGAGTAGCTGCTTGGCCATCCACAGTTGAGCTTCCACCAAGGGCAGGTTATTAGGCATAAGCTCCAAGACCAACACAGTAACTCAGAATATGTTTAACATTAAACATGTGGAGAGTCATATTGACATGATCTACAATTTGTTCTAAAAGCACTGTTCTTAAACAAAACTGTATCTAGCAATATCATGAAACAATTTTAAACACTACTCTACATGTCTTGCTGAATTGAAGCTTAATGTCATTATTGCTCCTTAATGGTCTTAAAGAAATATCTCAATTCTCATAAATTATCTTCAGAACAATTTGTTCCCAATTAGGAATGGAGCCTACCCCATTGACATAACTAGATTTCACACAAAAACAACTGTGCATCATATATTTAAACACAAATCTTACAAAGATGAAATGTGCCCCACCCTCAAGAGCTCTTTTGCTTTCTCATATGCTCCTCCAGGAAATATTTGTGCAAACTTCTAAAGAAAAGGACAACAATGGTGGCAGACATGCAGATTAGGACATTAGGATGTGATTTTATAACATGAATGAGAATCAACTTCACTGGATTCAGAATAAGGTAGCTTATTAAGTGTAAAGAGGAATGCAGCTCTTTTGCATCCAGATCAAACTCAAAACCAATACAGGACAAACTCAAAGCCAACAAGCAATTTGTTTTCAAAGTGCTCAGCAACCAAAAGCCCCAACTGCAACAGTTATACAATAATACCAATGCAACATACATCTTGGTTTTTGTAAACTCAACTACTATTTTTTTATATCTGAAGGGTGACTTCTTTGGACATTTTCTTCTCTCTGAATGACTGTTCATTCTCAGTGACACAAGTTCCACTGTGCATCTCATTCTATACAGAAATCATCCACCAGACTAAACTACACTATCCTTCACAGAGAGGCACTTAGTGCTACAGTGTATCAAAGCCTCACTTACAACTTTTTAGATCTTTTAATTACTATTTTACTCCATTTTTTACTGGATATGGGAAAGTATCTGCATATATAAAACCACATGAAAACAGATAAGGATACAGGTCTTGACACAGTGAAACTACTGGTTTACTCCAAAATAAATCCAATAAAAGCATAATGGCATACAAAAAAAATTGATTGTTTCATTAACTTAGCAGCCTTGTCAATACCAGTATTGCCTTGTTTTGAATAAAACGTGCCATTTTCATGGATCTTAGTTCCAGTAAAATGAGATTCTAGTGGAAATATTAATGGTGGCCAGGAAACCAGGCTGTGCGTTTCTATATGCATGGATTGATTTTCCCAACACATATTACTTGCATCATGACTCAGGATATTGGAGGTGCAGTTAGAACGTAGTTGGGCTCTGCCTCAGATTAGAGTCTTAAGGGCAAAATGTCACTTAGCGATTTGCCCAATCTGTTTAAGCAGTTCCTAGATTCATAGAATCATAGAATGCTTTGGGTTTTCTTGTTCCTAAGAGCCCATAAATTCAGCTACCAAGTTTTGAAGCTAATGCACCGTTATTCATCTTCAAAATGATTATGCTACATTTAAGATGAACAAGAACTTTGAACCTTTGGCAGTGCGCGTTCATTTCAAAAGGATGTAATTTTCTTAGGTTTAAGAATGATACAGCGATAAGTCTGTGTGCAGTTGCAAAAAGCAAACTCATTTTCAACCTCAGGAGCACCTCTCACTTGAAAAGCTAGCAGCCCTTCATAGAAAATTAGAATTAACCTTCTAATATACCACAGAGATTTAGTCCTACTAATGAAGAAATCAAGGCATCAAAAGTAGCTCTTTCAAAAAGTTCAAAGTGACCCAGGATTTTAAATCATGCTTTCCAAAAAAAAAAAAAAAAAAAAGTAGACATCCATCAGCTTAAAACCCATTGTCTGTAGAGAGTTTGAGTCACTTCTGAAAATCATCTGTGCAATTTTTTTTCCTTAAAATGTTATCAAAAATAAGTAATTCATAAATTCATCACAGCTCAAATTCCTGATGCATAATTCCCAGCTGCAAGCACATTCCCATTCTATCACAGTATTTTGCTGATAAACTCTCACCCACTAACCTTAACAAGCAAAACTTACTTTGCTGACAGTATGTATAAGTGGTTTTACAAAGTCACAGAATAACTTGTGTTCATGCACTCCTTGCAAGCAGACAGGGAAAAAAGCACTATGAACTGCATGAACTGTTTCTACTTTTCCAAAAACATGACCTAGATAGGGCCTAGTTAAATGCCTCTCATACAATTGTATCATCTCTATCAGGCTTTTCACATTTCACATTCCCCCTTGGTACAGCTTGTAAGAGAAGCTACAGAGCTTTCCTCATATGAATACCAGAGCAACTGTTGCCTTCTGGAGGAAACTACTAGCAAGTCTTGACCATTTCAAGCCAGGCAACAAAATCTTTTTGTAATGTTAAGAATCCTTTTGTTAATTCTGGTGGTCTGACAGACCTCTTGCTTGCCAAATTACATTTAGTTGCAGTATTTCTTTCCCCCCAGTATTAGCTGAATGCAGCGTCTCCTCCTCATTTTTCTAAGCTACTCTACAGTGCTATAATATGAGATGAAGGCAAAGCTGTTTCTGTGTACGACCTTATAAATTATATGATTGCATGAAAAACAAGACAAAGTAGAAAATTATCTTCAGTATAGTTAGCCAGGGATTTTTGGCAGAGTTCCTATCTCTTCAATCCAATACATTACGAAGATTTTAGTGCAACTTCAGAGACACTAGCTGCTTTTTAAGGAGAAAGTGAATAGCAAGAGAAACAGGACAAATAAAACGGCAGCCTGTGGGGTTGGAAGCACAGGAGGAAAATTGCTTGGTCTGTATAAACAGCGAAAGCTTCAGAAGCTGGTTGATCAATGAACAAGTAAACTTCTTACTAAAAGCCCAAAAATAACCTTGGAAAAGAACATGCAGACAGGCTGTGCATTTTCTGTAAAAAAACAGTTGTGCTGTAATCAGAACAGGCTCAGCAAAGAAAAATCCCCCAGGAGACAAGGCTGGAGCAAAGCCTGCAGGAAAGTGCTCAGGGGAAAGAGCTGACCTTCAGCTACCAGCCCAGGCTGGAAGACCCACTGCCAGGGTGTTTCTAGTCTCCTTCTTCCTACCAGCGTTCTGATCCATTCTCCTTTCCTTTCTCCAAAAGCCTTGGCTGCACAACCCAAAGGGGAATGAAGATCTGGCCAAATAACCAAAGAATTTCCTTGTGCAGATAATGCAGTGCAGTACTTTAGGAATTCACTCTGATATTAACAGTCATACAGTTACATTAGCAGTGATATTAGTAATATATGTCTGAAGGCAGACAAATCTCAAATGTCACACCGTCTTCTGTGGGCCATATCTAACTATGTCAGAGACCTTTTCAGTTTAGAAAGAATTTACGTTTTTAAGAAGTACAAATACTTGGAAAGTGTTACACTGTTAACATCTGCAGTGAGAATAACTAGTTTAGGCTAAATTTAAAACAGGGATAAAGGTCTTTTAAAAAGGCACAAAGTCCTTATTAATGAACGTTTTAGTTTTACAACAGTGAATATGACAGCAGTTCATCATAGGATAGACACGGATAAAAATAGAGAGGACAAATCCAGCTGTGAAAGCAATAATATTATTTAACAAAACTATAGATAATGAATCATGTGAGGATTTTTTTGTCTGTACTGACAAGAAACCTGCCAGGATGATGACACAGAACTGAATCATGCTTTGATTCCCTTCTCAAAAATTCTTTTCTTTCCCTTACCCAGCCTTGTCAGATCCTGGAGATCTCCATATTTGACATCATAAACAGAAAAGATCTGGCATGACACTCCAGAGTCTTAAAAGCCATAGTTCCAAAATCACAGACAAGGATGAGATAGGTCTGAGGGGTAACTGTGAATATCCTGAGCCACTTATCTAAAGCAGATGTTAACCTGTCTCACTTGTACTTAGTTTTTGAAATGTGACGATGCTAATCTTTCATCACTGAACAGGCAGCATATTCATAAAAGGACAATCCACCTTGTATTTGGTCAAACTGTATGCAGTTTGATGGGAACTAGCTTAGTACCAGTCCTAGGCATGAACATGAGCAATATCTTCCAATACAGTTTACTGACTCAAAGACTGTCTCTTGGGGGGTTTTAAGGCTTTTAAACAAGTTTTCATACCCATATGACATTCAAATAATATACAATCACAAATCTATTCTCCTCAGCTTTTAATTGTCATTCTAGACAGTCAGAAGAAATGGCTGAAGTCAAGACCACCTGTTTTACTGTTTTTTCTATGCTGACAGGCTCATCATTGCTTCAGCCCATCACTGCTTGGGTCTGACAAAGGTCACTGAGAAGCAGCAAATTTGGCAGGAAATAGATATTATCTCTGAGGGTCAGAATCAAAGTACATTAATTTTATTGAGTTCCATTAATGTTTCTGTAAAAGCAGTGCTTTCTCACTGCCATTTCTGTGAAAGTAAGGATTTGCACATGACCTGAACTGATTCCAGAGATTTTTACAGATTACTCCTGAACACCAGGGCCTGAAAGATCTATCATAGCACTAAAACAAGCAGAAAGATTTGAGTTCCTATCTGTTCTTCACCATTGCTCCTAAAAAATATACTATTTGACATGGTATTAAACTCAGCGCAAGAAGCTCCTTCAGATTTTTGAATGAAAATCTGCAGTAAAAAAGCTCCATCCGCAAAAGAAATTATTTCATTTCTCATATAGCTATCTGTCAAACACTGTTGCACTAAAGAAAGAATAGTACCCTGTTTGTGGCAGAATATATCTATTCAAAGGGAAATTCCTTCAGTTACTACCTTCTACCCAGTACCTCCCCTTCACTAGCCAGTGAGGTCCACTCTTTGCATCAGATCTTGCCTGACTCCCATGTTCCAAGTAGCATCTCATTTCATAAAGGTTCATGCAGTAGTATACGTTATGATTAAAGGTACTGAAATGCAGCCTTTTGTGTCACTACCTGGTAGCATCAGTGAGCTGCCCAAGTTACAGGACATGAGGTTCCACTCATTCTCTCACCCACTTTTAAATAGAATTAGCCAGAAAAATTATATTTTTCCTCTACCCTTTTTGTGGGTCATTTGATGAGAAACTCTTCAGGACATGTATTAACTCCTAGCTGGAGTCTGACTCAGGACCCCACATAACAGTGGTCTCATTTTACCTGAGGCAATCCTATTCACAACAGCAATACTAAACAAACACTATCAGTAATAATTTCTTGTTGACTAAGAAAAAAGGAGTGAGAAAGGATGAAAAGATGAACACACTTAAATACATAACCAAAATTGCTGGAATTTGTGCTCTAGCCCTTCATATTTTTAAGAACACTGCCATCTACTGAGGGTCTGAGAGGCTTTCTCGCTCATAGAGCTAAGCCCTAGAGCCAACTCCAATAATTTCTTGATGACACTCTCTCTCATCCAATTAACTATTCTACTTGTTTTTCAGAAATTAATTACTGTAATTAACAAAATCTCACTAGCTGATGGCTTGGTTCTGCTACACAGAGTTGGGATGAGCTAGCAGTTAGTTGCACTTCCACCTTCCATAGTTCTGGAAGAATAATCTGGTTTTATTTCAATCCCTCTGTGTGTACTTTAATTGTATTCAAGTATTTTAGACCAGATAGCAGATACAATATAGGCAATACGCTTGTTCAGAGTGGATGTGTGTATGGAAGTTTTGACAAAGGAAAGCAAATTTTAAGCTGCACTGAAAGCTTATGAACCATTAGGCCTAGAGAGCCAGACTGTTCTGGTTGCTAGGTCATTAGCAATATTTTAAACAATTTTCAAGGGACTTCTACACTTGTGCCTTTGTAGTAAGTACTCTGGGACCAAGACCCATGCACTGCATCAGACAGGTATAGAAACGCATAGTCAAAATGATAGCCAAGAGCCTTTGCTGTTCTTATATCTGTTGACTCAGTGAAATTTGCGCTGTTCCTCCTGCCAGTGTTCTAGGTAAATTTTAGTACTTCCGCATCTGCAAAGAGTAAGCAATTCTTGGAATTGAAGCTACAGAAAAGTAGCAGACACTGTTTAGATGGCACTTTCATATGTTCAGACTCACCTGAGAGTGTCCCTCTTTGTACAGCTTTGGCAGCAACCTCACCATAACACAGACAGCACCTGGATGTACAATGATGCAGTCTCCCATTTCCCACCTGCAGGAAAAAGATGCATACGACTTATCATCATACTTATCATTAACAACAGCAAAGAGGGTCCAACAATGTTCCAGGAGAGTACAGCATTAAATCCTTCTAGCAGTAATCAGGCTCAGTATTTGAAACTAAGCAAACAATACAGATGACCTGGAACAGCTGGAAGCCTACATAGAGTAACAAAGACAGGACATAACCTGCTAATGAGCTCACATCTCAAGGACCTGTACATTCAAAGATGTGCAGCAGCCTCTTTAAAAAAATTCTGCCTTTGAAAGTACTTGCAGTATAGAGAACATACAACCAGAGGGGTCTCTCTGACGCATCAGCCCAGAACTAGTGTTATATTGTCTATTTTCAAGCAGTCTGTAACTTTTATCAGACAATAACTTCAGTACTTTCAAACCATAATAGCAATAAACAAAGATGAGACAGCCTTGAAATCAGTATGCCACCCTTCCCTTCCAACACCAAAAGAAAGTTAAATATATGTGCTTCCCCACCAGTTTTCATTCTTGCCACGTATCACCTTTGTACATTCAGGCACAGGAAGGAACTGAGGCATCAGAGTTACCACAGAGAAGATCTGCTTATGCCATGATGCAGGCTGCAGATCAGGCATAGCAGTAACTCTAGCTTAAGCACTGCAGGCTTGTCAGGTTCAGAGTATCATCAGCATTTCTGGGTGCACCTCTGAACCAAGAGTTGTGATGTGCACTGTCAGAAATATCTGTCCCAAATAGATCTCGTGAGAAAAACAAAGGCAACATCTAACAGCTGTAATTAGACTGAAAAAATAAAGCACAATATGCTTTATGGACTGTATAAAACAAAGAGTACAAGTAAAAGGGTGAGCATAAAAGTTTTTACAAGAGACCTAAAGGGGGTAAAAAGGCCATAATTAACATGTTAGCCACTTCCAAAACGGCTCATCTGATACATCGGAGCAAGGAGTAATGTGTAGCACACTGCCACACAGTGACAAATAATTCTTACTGCACCCTCAAGAAAGACACTTTCAAAGAAATTGCCCATTGCATTTTTTTTTTGTGTGTAATGAATCAAAATCAGATCTGGTTTAAACACTTACTGCAGCAGTGGTGTGGACACATACACCTGTACTTGACATCAATGTGGGTGAGTTTTTAAATGTCAAATAAGAAAAAAGTACACACTGGAAATACACTCTCTCGCCATCTCCCCCCAAAACACCTTACCACCTTTAAAGAGAAAAATCCAGGCCCACTAGAATCAGTAGGATCAAAATTTCAGTCTGTTCTCCTGCTGTGGCTGTGCTCCCCAAAGCAAGTTCATTTTTAGCCTAAGCCACTGTATTCAAGGACTGACTTCCCAAACTTTCAATTCAATTCAAAATCCCACCTCTAGTACTGTAAAAATACATCACCAGGCCGTGTTTCCAGTTCTCCTAACACACAGCAGTCTTCCTAAAGACTTAGGCACTGAAGAAATATGGTTACCTCCAAACCTTAACATTTTTCTTTCATATAGAGAATATTTTTAACCCATATGATGTGTAGTAAAGTGTGAGCTAACAAAATGTGAATATCAGAAAACAATAACAGAAAGTGATCCTTTAAAAAATAAAATCATGAAATGGTTGAGACATTGCCATAACTATAAGAGATGTTTTCTTATTTTTGAGCACTGCCTGGCACGTTTAGCACTCTCCAGGGCTGTTAGGAAGGAAGAACAAAAAAGGAAAACCCAGAGCCCCTGACCAACATCAAACTACACTTCAACTTCCCTGCCAGCACTACACACTTGCTCCCCTCTAAGAATATCATATAAGCCTTATCTCCAGCCTTCTCTGTGGTTTTCCAAGAGGCCCTCATCTTCTGGCTTGTCTTAGTACAAAAGCTGTCTCCATGTACCAACTCCTCACTCCTGCAAATATCCCATCTCTCGCACTCCTGCCTCAGGGCTATCCAGTCAGCACCAAGATGCCACTCCATCTACCCCACCAGTATCATGGCGTGAATCCCGAATCTGCTCTGCACTGGCTGCTACTTAAAAATAAGACAAATAAGAGGGTTTGGGGACAAAATGAGGTGCCGCAAAGAACCTGAAGAGCCATTAGCGCAGTGAGTCTGTGGTAACAGCAGCTGCAGCAGCCATTCTGCTAGGGTGGGCACGAAGAGGGGCTGCCCTCCCAAAGCCAGATCAGCCTCAGTTAACACAGCTTGCAGCAACCTATCTCTAATTACCAGGAGCAAAAGGAAAACCAGAGACCCCATCTGTCACAGAAGGTGTTTCAAACATTAATGCAGGAGCAGAAACACAGAGGGCTGTTTTTCAGATGCGAATGAAAGTGTCGATTCCCCTGTGGCCCAGCAGCTTGCAGCATCATTGACCACAGGACAGTGCAAGGGGCTAGAATATTATCCAGTTAAAATGCAGATTTTCCTGTGTCTCCGTCACAGGCTCCTGTAGGATCACCTCCTTTCCCCCTCTTCGGGGATGTTAAATACATGTTGCAGGATGGGGCATCGCAGGCCACCTACACTGACTGCACTCAATTTCCTCCTTTCAAGCTGCATAGCCTCAGGCTGAAGCCTTCTTCAGGAGGAAGTGTGAGTGTGGACTACAGCTAAGAGGAAGCTGCATCAGGGGAACCACAGGCTTGCAGGAAGTCTGGGAACTTGATTTCTTATTTTTATTTTCAGAAAATTTACTGCTAGAAAAGGATACAGACTGTGTGGCCTGAGGATTGACAGCTTGCCAGTATGTGTTCCTCTACTGTGTTTGCATACACTTGTCCTGGACACTGTCCAGCCACCTCTAGCTAATCTGGCTTCCTTTTGTGCCTTCACATCCCAGAACCAAAGCCAAACTGTCCCAAACCAGACACTGTGAACTGAATGGATCCCAATTTACATGATTAATTTATTCGCAAGTGGTATTTATTCAGCTACTGCACAGCCTCACAGCTCAGGAGGCAAAACAACACAGGGACTTAGGAAGCCTTGTTTTATGTTTCACATCTATTAACTTGAGAAAGACAAGCAGAAGACAGAGCCATACCCTTCCCAGAATTGCCACTGATCTATTCTTTCTCTGTTGCCTTCCCTGAGCCTCCCTTATACACACACTTAAGCTACAGACTATGGACTTCTCACAACCACCACCATCCATATACTCTCCACACATTGACCCACGTTCTCCCAAATGGGGCTAGGAAGATCTACTTTGAAAAGAGTATTCATTCCTCCTGAGCCACCAAGTCCTCTCACCAGCACCGAGCATCTAACCAGAAGCTTCCAGTGTAATTCAAAGAGGGGTGATAGGCAGCAAACATATCCATGACTATTTTAAAATCAGTTGCACAAGGAGCAGAGAAATCTACCACAGGTTTTTCTAGTTGCCTCAAACAAGTACAAATATGACCAGAAATACTTGCTGAGCCTGCCTCAGTACTCAAGGAACAAAAGTTCTGCTGACTTCAGTGATTGCTAGCTGCAAGTGACAGACCTAATGACTTGGTCTTTAAACCTGGAAGATGACTGTGGAATAACCTACAATAAGGGCTGAAGGAATCTCAGTTACAAACTCAGCCTTCTTAAGCATAACTCCAACCAGAAACTTTTGTGAGAAAAGGACTGAGAGATCCAAGATAAAACTACAGACACATGAAGGGGCAGAAGATCTCAAGTTATGAACTGCAAGTTATTCAGAATTGATTCACAGCTGACAGCTACCTTGATTTCTGGTGTAGTCTTTCCTCCTTGCAAAGGATATATATTTTGATATAATCCTTCATTATATGAGGCAGGCAGCGTTACTATTCCTTTTCCAATTTTCTCTATTTCAGTTGTATGAGTAAATGAGCGAGAGAGTATGTGTGTGTCTGTACACGTGCCTGGACACATGTGCATGGGGGAGCATTTAAAATAACTTAAAATAGTTTTTATTTTTAATGTATCAGGTGACTGGAAACAGCTTTCCACATAATTGAAAAAGTCAAACTTGATCGGGGCAGATCCAAGCAGATACTAAATGCAAGCTTCAAGTCCCAGCAACCCTTTCCTTAGAGCCCAGTCCTTAAGAGCTCCAGTCCTGGCACATGTCAGAACCTTCAGCACAAACTCTGCAACTCTCGGGGTTGTGTGTCCCACTGCTCCACTGAACACTTATGCCTCAATGTTTACCATCATTTACCTTTCAAAAAGAGGTGATTTCTGCTGTCTGGAGGCCTGGGAGTTGGGACTGTGGCACTGGTTTGTTTGTTCTAGGCAGGTTATGTCACACTTTACCTCAGTTTACTACTATATAAAATGCAGGTGCCAGTCTTACTGTTATATTTCCTGTAATAAATAAAGACTTACTTCTCCTCAGGGTTTCCCCATAGCCTATAGGCAGAGGCAGGTAATTTGTTGCCTCGTCTTTTGAAAGCAACAGGATGTTCTTCTTGAGCTTGGGGTCCCTCCTGATCATCTCTTGATGCCTCTCCCATCTCTGGCTTTCTCTCCTTGAAGTAGCTCTCTAGATGGAGAGTTCCTTTGATCATGTGATCAAGAAAATTCAGAATCCATATGCAGTTCTTTAGCCACGTTGGGAAAGGTTCTGAAGAGCAGAAAGCTGCATCCAAGAACTCTGCAAATGTCCTTGTCTTCTCAAGGTTCAGAGGGATTTGCCATTCCCCTTGTGTCCCGAAGCATCCAAGTGACCCGAGATCCTCTGCCATCTTTTCAAAGAGACCATTCCTCTGGAAGAAGTTGCTGTTGACAGGGTCCAGGTGCAGGGCTGCTGTTATCCCCTGAAGCGTGTAGAAAACAAGCTCCAATATGCAATTCTGTCCAACTCCTGTCCACAGCCCAGATGGAGGGTCCTGCAACGCACCTTCCATGTCTGAGAGAAGGGACAGGAGTCCATTGAATCCACTGCAGGTTCTGAAAGCTGAATGGCTCTTGGGACTCTCTAGTATCCTCAGGAGTGACTACAAACATTGGGAAGAAAGGAGATAGAAGAAGCACTTAAACCAAGGGACAAAGAAGCTTTAGAATATTTTAAAATTCCAAGTTTCTATCAAAAATCTTTCACTGATATTTCACTCCTTGAAGAAAAAGGTGGTCAAAGAAAAGGTCACCACTGCACAACTTTTCTCATCCTCCCTTCCTCATATAGCCAATGAGTCAAACAACCAAGATTTGAATGCACCCTCAGGAGCAACCCATGGAGTCAGCCTGACAGGTAAGGAATAGCGCTCACAGGAATAAGCAAAGAAATCAAATTTCCTGCATTACATATCCTAGTCGGTTTAGTCAGAGGTAGTTTCAGACTTTTGGCTATTCTTTCATCAGTCTTCTCAGATTCTCTCAAGAAATCTGCCTTTGCCTTAAATAAATGAAAGCAGAGATCCAATTGTAGATAACCTCATATAGAAACTGAGCAGCACAGCTCTCTGTAAGCAACTCTTCCTACAGCCCTGAACACACAAGGAGCCACACTAGACTTTTGCTCATAGGACTGAGCAGACCCTATCCAAAAAAGCAGCAACACAGGATGGCCCAAAGCATACTGCAAGTAGCAGGCTCTCCTCATTAAAAAACGCAATAATAGTTCCCTTTCTCAGCAAAGTTATTTTTAAAGTTTGCACAACACTTTGGAGCAAAAAAACAAAGAGTCAGATCCCAAGATAATGATGTCGTTAGATTTTTTCTAACTTCAATGGGCTTAAAGGAGGTTATAAGCAAATGCCACTTGACAGTATTACACATGCATGAAAACCAACCTATACCACTTGTAAATTTTGAATGCTGTGGGCTTGCCATTTTAAAACAAATCTAGAAAAGTTTTTAAGAGCTGCAGTGGTAGAAGTAAAATTGCTGAGAAAAAAGAGCTTGCAAGGGAACAGTCTACTGTATTTGAATGTAATCCATCCCAGGATTTTGGGATGTTGCACAATTCATTTTGTAAATGTGATGCTCTTTCAGGCACCAGGGAACTTCCAAACTTGGGGCTGTACCTTTTCACATTGGAAAGGGCTATTTTTACATATCAATTTTCCCCAACAGATATCCAATGAAAGAGGTTCACTGCACAACCTGCTGAAAAGGAACAGTATACATAAGTGTATCTCCCTGTAACAGGATCTAGGACTGTGAGAAAGGGTCGCCAGAACTGGAGGGGGAGGGGGAACTCTATTACTGTCATTCAATTTTGTATGATAATGTATCAAACCAGGCAGAGACTTCTGAACAGGGAGTAAATTTAATAACTCAGAGTTGAAGTTATCAGGATGGCTTTAACACATTTCAGAGAAGGTCAACAGTAACCACATTTCCTCCAGCTCTAACTCAGTTAGAATTTAATCGCGTATGAGTTAGTATTCCTCTGTCTTGAATCTATAAAACTGATGTCTGCTGGAAACTCCCAACTCAGTTAACGTTAACAGAATTTATTTCACATTCCATTATTTGTTATTCCTCATAATTGCCCACGTGCCACGCTGAAATACGGCAGTGCTAATTGCATTTGGGCTCAGGCTTTAACAGCTAAATATATATTAGCAAATCAATCTGAATTTGTGTGTAACACAATCACAGTCCCAATGGATGTAGATAATAAATTCATTTGCTTACATTATGCTTTAATACAGTTATCATTTGTCAAAATTAGACACTGAAGCTGCATTTATTTTCATATTAGTTTGGGCACCATACTCAACTTTTCCACAAATACTGTTAAAGTTTACTTTTTCAAACCAAAGCAATAAACTTTTTCACATTTTTTGGTTTTTTTTAAAGTAACATGGTTCTTTTATCACAGAAGCAGCTGCTGTATTGTGCTGAAAGGTGAATTCAGTTCATACTTGGTAGAGAAGGTAGAATGATACTTTAAATCAGTGCTTACAACACTGCTGCTTTTCAGTTTGATGCCTATAATCTAAACCAAAATAAAACACACTGATTCTTTCCCCTGCTTCATTGCTTATGGATCAGACCCTTTATAAACACAATAGAGGTTATGAATAGTTCTAATTTCTTCCTCCAAACATTCATAAGACTCCTTCTTTCCATCCTCTCACATCTCTTTTTCCATGACACCAGTGTATGTGAGGGATGACAAAATTAAGGACAGCAAAGTTTCAACCTTGGAAACTTATCAGAATCAAGCTGTTCATCTCATGCCTACCCCGACCCTTCCTTTACCTCTTCTGACATCCTCTCTCCACATCTCCTCCACTTTCATTCACATTTCTTTCTCCTTTCTGTCATGTTACACAAAACTGCTCATACAGCTGTGCCCTTTGTCATTTCCATTTCTCAATCTGATACTAAGTGAAGGTGTTGACCACACACACATCACTAAAAATCAAAGCACCCAATTTACCAGAATCAAAAAGCACTGACCCATGGCTCTTTTTTCTTCTGCACTTACATTCTTGGAAAAAACCACACTGCTAGGAGTGAGATTAAGAGCAAATTTGCCACAAGCCAAGCAGTTTCCAAGAAAACAACAACCAAGTGGGCAGCCACATTAATTACCTTCAGCAGATCTAGTTTCAGATGTAGTTCCCCTTGAGTGGAAGAACAGAGGGCCCCAATAATAATGCTCATATACTCTTCATAGTTGATGACTGATAGCTGTTCCAAGATGCTGAGAGTAGCACTCCTGTAGCACTCATCATCCAAAAATATCTTTATATACGGCACCATTCCATAGTCCTTCAGAACAACTGGGGGGCAAATACAGTATCATTTGTTACTTAAACTACCCTTTACTTGTAGTTTTCACAGGCAGACTTTCAGTGCTGGTGTGAAGTGCCACATTTCTACAAATACAGCAGGAGAAGCAAGAAGAGCTGGTTAAGCGAGACAACATAAACTGAATAGCACAAGAACAACTAGGGATAAAATAATTGGATGACCATGGTTTCTGATCATCACAGATGACAGCTTCCCAACACAACAATGAATGAAAAGGAAAAGATGTCCTATTTGCTTTCAGCTTAAACATCTCTTTAGTTTATGAAGGGGACTGTTTGATAGTTTGTGACAACATATTTGCGCTGTATAAGATGCTGCAAACGTGATGATTCTAGGATTCAAGAGTGAATTAAGTGAGTGGATTCCAGTATTCAGAAAAGTTCACTTCTGTGTTACTACATTCCATGAGATTTCCCACACATACACCTCTTAGGTATGCCAATACTAAATGTGCAAGTGTTACTCAGCATGCTTCTGATCCCATCAAGATTTCAAATAACAGATACCATGAAAGAAAACCTGGATGAACAAGCAATACACAAAACTCACACACAGAGTTTTGTTTTCCAGGAGGTAAGTTTGTGTTTTCTATGTAAACGCTTCAGGAGTATCCACATGGATGAGGAAAGCAGGGTGACTACTGGGATAAGGCTCATTATGCAGGATGAGAATATCTGCCACATTTCTTTCTGGTGTAATACTGTTATCCCAGCACTTCTAGATTTTGTCCTCCACTGCTCACTGAAGCACAAAAGTCAGAAAATTTGTTGGCCCTCCTTAAGAGGCATTGTGGCCACTTACCACCAAATATCACAAAGGTAATGCAGTCGTATGTCATTTCTTACCAGTGTTCCTCACAGACCCCACTGTAAGGGCAGCCACCATCTTCAGCATCACGGCATTTAATTCCTTCTCAGTGCCTCCTTCCAGACCAGGCAGATGGGTTCCAGCTGTCAGTATATTAAAAGTCATAATACAATTTATACAAGACACGGTTAACTGTAGCTAAAATATATTAAACCAAAAAGGAAAACCAGTTCTCCAGGAAATTCTAGTTTTCTCTGAAATATTACTTACAGGCTACTTGAACACTAAAATTAGCAACAAAATACCAACAGGGCATTGTCTGTATCAGAGTCTAGTCTGGGATTGGGAAACACAGGTCTGATTCTATGCTCTGCAGCCTGGATCTCCTGCATAGCTATAGACAATACTGGTAATAGTGGTGTTTCCACTTCCCAACTGATGTAGAGTTACCTGTTTAGTGATACCTGATAGGAACATACACAAATAAAAGAACATTACAGATTATGGGCTATGAAGTGGTAAAATAATATAGCAACAGGGAGTACTTAAATACCTAAACTAAAAGTGAAGAGAGAAACCCCCTGCATGTTCAAAGGCAAACATTTCCACAATCAGACAGTGTAAGGTGTGTTATTTTTAGATCTAAAAAGTCTTGAAGTTTGCAGGCTAATTTCTGGAAACCAAAAGAGGGAATTAGTGATCACTTCACACAGTGTCTTCCCACTTGTCCCTCTTCATCTGTGTGTCTAAATTTACAAATTACAAAGCCATTCAATCACTCATTCTATAAAATTTAGATCACCAAGTGATCTAAAGCAGTGAAATTAATGCAAGGACAGAAGAAAGCCCCTATGGACCAGCTCATAACCAGAAGGTAAGTTTTCAAGAACCTTGGTATTTATGTTGACAATCCCTATCTAAGTACTCTTGTACAAAACACTTGTTCTTTGATATCAAGAATGCAAATCTAAGCGTCCTTGCAGGTAATGGATGTCTGCACTCTGGAACTTCTGTTACAATTCATATTCCTTCTGCTGCTTAGAATAAATGTGTTTAAATAATTCAATTGTGCTTACTGCGTCAAAAGTTATACCTAGTACTTTGGGTCCCTCCTCCTTTACTAAACCACTACTGCACCGAAATTTAAAGGCATTTCCCAATTCATGCAGCACAGAAAATGTTATAAAGCATTTTTCTTTCTTTAAAATAGCAGTTATAAATTTTCAAATATGTGAGTCTGTCCCCGAAGTCAGCTGTACCCCACAGTTACCACACCAGGACTATTACCTTCCTGTTTTCATAATAGGAAAGAACTATATCAGATGACAATGGGTGGTAGTAATTGTGGGTAATATATGGCCATAATTCAAGAAACTGCTTTCCATCATCAGTCCTCAGGATGAAGTGTTCTTTACAGAGGAAGTAAACACTGTGGAAAACTCTTTCTTCCTCTACTCTCAAGCTGGCATTCTAGAAAACCCCAAATTGAGACCTGTTTAAAAGTGTGGGCTGAATGGTACCTTCCAGAATAATTCATGCTACACTGGTGAAGAATAGCCCAGAACTGTTTAGGCTAGTGAACAATAAACAGCTAGGATGTCAGAGAGGACCCAGCTTAGTATGTCATATAGTATGTCATAAACTTTGGACAGTTTGCTTGCAGAAAAAAATCTAGCTGCTCAGTATATAAAATTTATAAATTGACTGTAGAAACAGAATCATTCATTCCAAGTGATCTACCTACTTCAACAGTCATTGTGAATGACATTAAGTTGTACCTGACTTCCTCAGGATCTTGGCGTGCTTCCTCAAAAGTGCCAGCAGTAGGCCTAAGAGCCCAGAGTCACGGAATATGTCGCTGAATAACAGGTCCTTCTTGGTCATGCTGAGAAGGCACCGGAGAGCTGTTAAGGTGCAGAATGGCACTATGTTTTCCTTTATCAAATACTGAACCTTCTTCAGAATTTCATGGGGGACATAGGACAGGTCTAGCACTATGGACTCCACCAGTCTGAAGAACTGGACTTGGACTGGGTGTGGTTTGAAATGGATTATGTCAGTAAACTGGTTGATAGGTTGTAGTGTCCATTCCAGAAGAAAGAAGTTCACTGTGTCCCAGGCCCATATGGTACCAATTGCTGCCAAGATTCTTCCACACAGGTGCTGATCATTACTTTTCTGGAAAATGGACTGCAACACCTGAAAAGCCTGGAGGTTTTTCACTGTCATTCCTGTGGGATAAAACCAGGTGAGAATTTTTACACCAATGCTATTTAAGACTGCAAGCACCATAACTACAATGTTCAATCATGTCTGAGAGTGGAAATAGGAGTCACAGACACATGGGATGTGACTGGGAGGCATGTTTTCAACCTTGGATCAGACCCTACAGCTGACACGGTCAGTTCAGTTTGATGTAGGTAGCATTCAGGCTCCTGCAGCGTTAAGCACATAGATCAGAAGATGCCATCTCATACCCTTCCTCCATCTTAAGACATGTAATGAATAGAGCTTCATTTTTCTGTGACCCACCTATATAGCCACACACATATATATACTGTACCAGAAGTCCGTGTCCGTTCAAAATCAAAGTGTGGTAATTGCGGGTGTACAATATTGCCAGAAACTTTCAGTTCAGTTTTTCCACAGGTTGTAAGGCAAGTCAGCATGTCCAGGATCTCATCCAGATAGTGGTGTCCATCTTGCTGCAACCCCTCACATCTAGGAACAAAACTTGGGATAGTCATATGTTCATGCCTTAGGAATACAAACATTTTGGATATATCACCAGGTACTGAGCACAGAGGAGCTATCCATTTTTCTCCCTACTCACCTCAGTCTATTTTACTGTCTTTTTGCCTTATTTCTGTGACCTGTTTAACCACTTTACAAACAGTGACTCCACATCATGGTGGCACATTCTGAATCAGAACAAAACTTACAAACCAAAGTAACACTGTAAGAGTCTTCTGAAGAAAAGGAAGATAAATGTTGGAATGTAGCCTAGTTATGTGTACTTTTTTAAAAAAAAGTAATTCTCTCCAGAAAAATGCCTGTTTGGGGAGTAAAAATTTAGATTTTGTGAGAGATCAAAAAATTAAAATGGATGCTTCATATTCAAAGGTAGGCATATGCTTGGCAAGGTAAGAGACTTGCTAACTGAGGTAACAGAAAAATCTCAGCCCTTAGGAAGAGAAAAATATTGTATTGCCTGAGCTTTCCGCATCAGACACAAAGATGGCATGTCTCTCCTGGTTTGAATTGTAACCCCAGATTTGCCATAGTTTAGACTGAAGTGAGATTCAGTCAAAGGGCAGAGAGCTGCTTATCATATTGTCCTAATATGTACTGCTCAGAGGGGTCAATTCTTAAGGAAAACTGCAGCATCTGGGCATGGGGTGGCGGCAGAGCAATAGACTGATATCAGAAGTTAGGAAAATCTCAGAAGAAAACGAAACAAATATGTTCCGTTTTAATCTAAACAAGAAAAAAAAAAGGCTAGGGCAAATGCTAGTATCCGTTTTGGTGAGACAGAATGCGATCAGCAAGATTCTTTTTACCTGAAAAAGAAATCCCAAACATCAGAGAAGAGGAAACCTGGTCACACAAAAACCTTCAGGAAGGAAGCTCTCTGTCTATCCCTTTCTGTCAGTATATGCTGGGAGGGGAGACTAACCTGAAGCCCTGAGCACCTGTATGCTATTTCTGTCTCTCCAGCCTAGTTACATCAGTTAAAAGGACAGGGGCAGTCATAGCCCTTACTGATAAAAGATTGGGTGTTTCTGCCCTTATATGGATAGAATTTCATCAGAAGTACACATCTCAACACAGTTTATTTATAAAGGAAAGCTAGACAATCTATGGTAACTAAATAAAACATTGCCAGAAAAAGACAAAGCTTTTTCCAATTGTAGGTTGATAATTTCGTGCCACCCAAAAGTCATCAGAAATCATACCCACCTATGGATATCATTGGATTTATGATTCAGATTACAATCCTCTAGATCCAAATTACAAAAATACCCCCCCTCAGTCTAAGGTACTGGTCAGGGACCAAAGTTCTTGCAAGTATTGGAGAAGTACAAGAAAAGGCAAAGCCAGAATTGAAACAACAATAGATTGAGAAGATCTGGAAATGCTCTCTTCATAGGATATTAAAGAAAATCAGAACAAAGCTCCTAAGTGCTTCTGGGGAAGTGATATAATGTACTGTTTTGTCATAGCAAACTCAGAGCCTGGTTAGACAACACAAGGAGACAAGGAGAGTAAAAGATTCTACTTTGTAGTTTTGGTTAGGATAACTAGTGGGGATTTGTCCTGATATGTTAATATCCATCTCTGTTCTGAAGAACATAACCATCTCAGATATAAGTTTGGGTGGGTTTTTTTGTTTGTTTTCTGCACAGCAAGGAGATCAGCTTTCCCTCCCTAACTGACTGCATTCCTGGATCAAGAGTTCACCTTAACTGCGACAAATAAATGTCTCTGACCCACATCCCTTCTAATACTAATTGATGAAGAACCTTTGTCTTGTGTTTGGTAAGTCCCTATCTGTCCTGGTTTTGGCTGGGATAGAGTTAATTCTCTTCCTAGTAGCAGGCATAGTGCTGTGTTTTGGATTTAGTAGGAGAAGAATGTTGATAACACACTGATGTTTTCAGTTGTTGCCAAGTACTGCTTACTCTAGTCAAGGACTTTTCAGCTTCCCATGCTCTGCCAGGTGCACAAGAAGCTGGGAGGGGGCACAGCCAGAATAGTTGATCCAAACTGCCCAAAGGGCTATTCCATACCATGTGACATCATGCTCAGTATATAAACTGGGGGGGGTTGGCCAGGGAGCAGCGATCTCTGCTTGGGAACTGTCTGGGTATCGGTCAACAGGTGGTGAGCAATTGCATTGTGCATCATCATCATCATTATTATATTGTTATTATTATCATTACTATCTTACTTTATTTCAATTATTCAACTGTTCTTATCTCAACACAGGAGTGTTTCTCACTCTTACTCTTCCAATTCTCTCCCCTGTCCCATCAGGGCAGAGGGAGTAAGCAAGCAGCTGCGTGGTGCTTAGTTGCTGGCTGGGGCTAAACCACGACACCATCCCACCTGTAGACTAACTTCTCCTACCATTAATTTCCGTTACAGTTTCAGAAGGAGTTGCATACTGCTTCCCTTCCTAAAACAGCAATGGAAGACGCAATATCGGGGTCTTTATTACTGGCTTTGCATCCACAGAGGATTACCTACATGATTCTTATTTTAAAACAGACCACCATGCATTCTGCAAATGAGGTTTTGCCATTGTCTAGAAGCCTATTAAAAGCCTCCCTACTTACCTGAGTAAAATTTTTAGCAGGAGTTGGTAGCCATCATTATTTTCAAACTCTGTTAATAAAGCTGATGATATGGGATAGGAGTCTTTCACAAAGCACAAGACAATACTAGCAGCTTCACACACATCACAAGCAGGTAGGGTATCGGCCAGTTTAAAGAGATTCTGAACAGCTATTTTAATGCAGTCCACAGCTGTGGGAAAAAAGATATAGCAGGTATTTAAGAACTGACAGTCAAGTTTAAAGTTACTAATAAAAATGGAACAACAAGTTTGAAAAGTCATTTCCCAGTAAAATAGGAGTCAGTTAACTCTTTTTCTAGAAAGAAAAGACAAGAGGATATATGAACATCACACTCATCTCATAGGCTACGTGAAGAACATTTCTGGTTTTAAAGTATGCATGTGTTTCTTTGCTTAACCCCCAGAAGCTGATTCAGTCTCACAAATATAAACTTCTAACCAACCCGCTCACCAAAATTCATATACAGTAAATCCAGCTGTCTGAGTACAAGGTAAGCAGAGGCTGACATTTAATTGACTTGTACTAAGTTAATCACATACCCTGTGCAGAGTTCACAGATTAATTCTTTGCTCAATGAGGCACAGATAATGGAGTAGACACACCTTGCTCTGAGCAATGAAGCCTAGTTTTCTTGTCTAATCTGATGGCAAGTCCTTCTAGGACAGCTTCAAAACATCTAAACAGCTCAGTACTCTCAGAACTATTATTCCTCAGTCTTTCAATCCCACCCAGGAAGCTAAGTTTTTATTTTAAAAAATAAAAATACCTATATGTAGTTAGTCCATGAAAAGGAGTACTGACAGTACAGTGTGGATTATAAAACTTTTTTTTTTCCTTCTAAGAATTGACACTCATGGCCTTTGCACTTCTTAATAACAAAAAATTGCTTACTCTAATAAAGCCTAGGAAGAAATGAGGATGTAACTCAACCAACCATGATGTCCCAAAACATACTGTTCATCTGGCAGTGCCCTCAACCTTGTATTTAGAGTGTGCACGAGCCTTAGGCTCACACATCGAGTCACGCAACTTAAAAATATAATACATCTTGTCCTTGCCTACATTAGTGTGATCAGGTAGGATTGATTCTTGCCTGTAATTTTATTTTTTGTGTAGAAAAACCTTTAGTTTCCAGATGGCTATCAGTACTAAATAAAGCTTCTGTCTAGAAAGCCAAAAGCCCATGCTTTGCAGTTGACTGACTACCAGATGACGTAGAGATAAAAATCTATCCTAGGGACACTCTTCTTGAGAATTCATTCTCAGTGGAGCTATAAGGAAAGGAGAAGCCAAATTACTAAACCAAACCTTGTAGGTACACAATGCTGTTTTTGGTCTGAGCCTTGGAAATTGTTCTCAGCACACGGCCTGTAGGTACTTTCCACGAGTGGCTACACTGGTCCCAGAGGGAAGCAGTTGCTATAATTAATGACTGAAGCTTATCAGCTGCCAGAAGTTCCTCTACACCTTGTTCCTCTCTGTACATGTTAAGCATTATCTGAAAGGCAAACAAACATCAGCTACAATAAACACCTCTACAGATATCTGGGAGATAGAAAAAAAAAACCCCTTTGGGGGCAGGGTGATTATAATTTCATACTAATGCCAGGAGAAAGGATGTAGTGAAACAGACAAGTGAAACTACCACTAGGATATTCTCAATGGATTTTTTCCCCACTTACAAAGTCATGTTGTTTCGTTTAACAAAACAAAAAATAAGAGATACAGTGACATCAACTCAGATTGTTTTATACAGCTCCTGATGTTTGTTCAATGGTTTTCAGGCCAAATTTACTCCTCTTTTTGGCAGTTTGAATCAATCACCAGCTAAAAGACTAAGGGAACATCTGAGTACACAGGGAAATGAACTCCCAGAGGCACATCTCACCTTAACAAGCATTTCCTGAGTTTGAGTGTCATTCTCACTTGTCTCTCCATCATCACTGGTTTTCTTCAGAGGAAAAGTAAAGAAAAGGTACAGGCACTGCATCAGAGCAGCTGGAAGGCCAGATCCAATGATGTTCCACATAGTTCTCTAAGAAAGGAAAATAAAAATCAGCCCCTCCAGAAGCTGACCACAGTTTCCTTCTGTTTCTACACACTGGGTATAGTCAGATGGCAGATTAAAGAGCTACTTGACCATTTTATCCTTACATGTGCTCTAAGGCACACAAGCGTGGCAATCGTATAACATGGCTGTATAAATCCACTTGGCAGAAGTAAACACACTGACCATGTGTTGCCATAGCTGTTCCCAGGACTTCTCACTCCAGCTGAACCACAGCTTTGACAGAGATACTATGTCCTGCATAAGGAGACCTACAGTCAATAAAGCACACAACCTGCAAACTAGCTAGCAGCTAAAATAGCAGTAAGTCCAGGGACAGACAGTGCCCCCTTTATCATTAGTTCACAGGACACCCTGCAGCTATAGAGTCCTGGTATGTTAAAAGCATGAATTCCCCATTCCCTCCTTGACCCAGCATAGTAGCAGCTTAGCTATAACACCTTTGCTTTTGTTACATATTGAATAACTGCACGCACACTTCTAATTATAACTTTTATAAATACAAAAGACACTGTTTCTCCACACTTAAGTTTCTTCCCATCTTCACTACAGCTGTGTACAACTTACAGAGAAGTCCCAGTGTGCTTGCTTGACACGCAATAATTGAAACAAAAATCCACAGCAAATTAAACAGAAGAGTGAGGTTTCTGATAGGAAGTTTTGTGAGTGTGTGTGCTACAAGAAAGCAATGTCTTAAATCTGTGAAAAACACAACGCTCATCAGGAACTTCATGCTGTGACTAACTATACATAATTTTCTAGAGCTCCTTATGACACAGAACATGTCCACTAGAAGCTGACAGTAAGACTTTATTTTCATGTATCTGAATAAGGATGAGACAAACTGCTCAGCTCAATGTCACGGATAAACGCACCCCTGATGCCCATGAGCAGGCTGTACTGCTGATGCCAGTCTGCATTCAGGATGGCTGTACAAATAGAGTTTGTGAAATGCTTTGAAATGCTTCGAAGTCAGAGGCTATCAGGATGGAACCTGCATTACCAGACAGACAGATCTTTAATAGTCATCTTTTTGATATCTAAGCTGGAGTGACAAAGAAAGGTTGAAGAGCAGTGATGAACAATGGGGAAAAAAAGATAAATTAGAGGAACAGTGAAAAAAAACAGCTGCCTGATGATCAAAACAGAAAGGGTATCTGAAAACACAGAGCGCTTACTTCCGTCTCTTAGAAAAGCCTGGACTATAAACCTGGTGGTGTGTCCTCTCTCTGACTGTATATCCTGGGCATGCTAAAGAACAAAGCATTGGGGAATAATGCAAACATTATGAGACTTAGGTGTTCCGCTATTGGGGTGGCTACCCAGTTTCTCTGAAATAAAAAGGAAAAAACCAAAACAAGACAAAACAGAAAGAAACCCTCTGTAGTAATTTCTCTTACCAAGTCAGTCTGTGAGAGCAGATACACCGATTTCAGGAGCAAACGGCCATCTTCTGCTTCCCCTTTCTGTTGTAGCAATTGCTCCAAAGCCAGACGAGCTTCCTCTGTTACCACAAAAACGTTAAACTTTAATTCCTTAATGGAAGATGAAAATGCTGTCCTGATCCTTTATTAACGGACCTGACATTTAACAAAATTACAATAGCAGGAGTCCACTGAAGTGAATAGAAGGACATCAGGCTCGGGTCAGTTCATGTAAACTACAAGTTTCAAACTGACAAGCTTCACTGGGAATACCAGCTCAGTTCATGAAGTCTGCCAGCCAGTGCAAAAAATGTACAACAACCACCAGGAAAGCCATGGGTGGCTAGCAGTATTTTTCTCATTAAAGAAAGCTCCTCGGAATAGTGTGTAGCCTACTCTTTTACTGCATAGCCGCAGTATTATACTTTTCCAGCTACAAAAGTTCCAAACCCAAGGTCAGCATGGCATACAAGGCCAGATCTTCAGTGCAATCATCCAAAACCAGTGCCAGCTCACACCTACTAAAAGATCTGGTTTGATACACTTAGCATTTTCCTGTTCTCCCTTTACTTCCCTCATGGCAAGCACATAGGATGGCTAAATGACAGCACATTCCCAGAATATGTGGATCCAAGGGATATGGTATGGGATCATTACCTGCAGGTTTGCCATTGAGGTTCCTCTTAATTTCTTTTGTCAGAAGCTTGGAAACTTCGCTGGCTAACAGCTGAATGTTGGGGAATACGACTACTCCAGCAGACTGTTCCCAGGCCTGAAATCCAAATGTAACTGTTAAGCCTTTCTGATACAGCATGTCAAGTACTAAAAAAATATAAACAAACATAAAGCTAATATTCCCCTGCAAAATTCCCTCCCCAGACAGTGTAGTCCATTAAGCAGTATTTGCCAGCTTGCAAGAGCCTGACACTTACAGGTACAGAAGTCAACATGGAACTACCTTTTGAATCACTTAATACACCTGCCAGAGAGCGTTTACATTATCTTCTCCATTGAATACAATCAAAACAATGTAAATGTTTGTCATAGCCCCTGTGTCACTAATTATTTGTATCAAAAAGCATGCTAGTGCCTTTCGAAATACAACATGAACACCCTGTACCCTGAAGATGTTACAGCTACAGTTGTCCAAGAATTTTTCAGTAAAAGTATATCCTTCTCCAAAAACTGGTCTCCCCAAAACTATAGTCATAAATAAACAAACCCTGAGTTTTCAATTGAATAAAAATTAAAAATAAAAATTGTATTTTCTCTGTTCAGCAAGTCATTGCACAGTCTCGGCTACTTAGAGACTGAAATGGGATTGAAACTGCTGTTTTCATGGAGTGTTTGCAACAGATCTGTCAAAAAGAAACCGTGGTAATACAGGACTACTGCTCCCAGGTAGCAGAATACTGGCCAAGATTCACCTGAAACTGAACTATTTCTTTCAAGTCAATAAGTTTATAAAAATCACATAATGAACAAACAAGCAAAATCCTTTGGGGTTGGTTTTTTTGTTGTTGGTTTTGGGGGTGGTTGTCTTTTTAATACATTCATAAAGTTTCTGCCTTACAGTTCTATTCTATTTTGGTAGGAAAGTAAGGGTCATAAAATCAGCATTTCTTGCCAGACAGAAATAATCTTTGTTGCAAACTAGGGAAATAAAAGAAAACATGGGGAAAGGAGCCGAAAACCCAGCAATATTCTAGCCAAAAAGGCATGGGATGTGATTTTGCAGCAATATGAGTTGCCTAACCCATCTGCCTATGAGGTTAAGATGTAGGCTGCCAGGCCTGGAGTGACAACCCTGCCTGGCTAGGAATCTACAACATTACAAGCCCCCTTACATCATGAGTACAGATTGGTGCTAATGTAGGAAAACATGCACTTCTAAAATGCTGAGATGGTGACAGTAAATGCTTACAGATCAGGATTTCTAAACATTTCCTATGCTATAATAAGCCTCCCTAAATAAGAAGGAAAACAAGTTTCTAGACAAGTTTATAAACAATTTATAAATAAGTTTGTAAGTTACTTGTTCAAGAATGGACAAGCAATTCAATGCAAAACTGACAAGAGGAACAACAGTAAGACTTGATGGTTCTCTGCTGAGTCTGACAAACAGATCCTCTGTCAAATGTTTCTTAGCCTTGACTTTGGGGAAAAGAAAAATTCAAAAGCAATAAAAAATATGCCAGTAGACTAACACTATCGCACTCAACTGGCCTCTGAGAATCAGGTACCATTACTTTTATATAGAACATCCAATGCTACACACATACATATTAGCAATAGTGCAGCATTCACCTCTAAATACCAGGCAGAGACACCCGTCTCCAGCAACCTTGAAAGTTTTCTTTACAAAAGTCTCCCCTTTCTAAAAGCTCAGAAAAATCAAGCTGTAAGGCCAGATGATGAAAGGAAGGTAACAAAAATAAGACACCTGTTCTCCTAAAATAATTTGGAACAGACAACCCATAATACTGTCTGCCAAGAAATCAGTGTAACTTTTTGTGAAAGAAGATCTTCTACAAACATTATTTCCTTCCCTACCATTGCTTTCAATTAGTTGTTCTTTCTTTGCTGATGGCAACTTGTGGATAAGCTATTTCTTTCCCCACAAAGTGTCTGTCATCTGTCAGCAATCCAGCAAGCACCTACTTTTTGCTTCATTTTACTGCATTGACCTCTCTGGAACTGCATCCAACTCTTTTTTTCTGGGCTACAAAAGAGTCAAATAAAATTGCAGTGTGCCTATTAATTATTTTTCAATCAATCAGCAATATTAAAAAAACAAGCTTTTTTTTTTTTCAGATTTTGACCAGAAATGATTTTCAGAGACCTTCAGCTGCAGGAGCAAGGTCCACAGATTCCTCCCCTTCCAATGCAGAAGTGAGCAAAGATCTATAAAGAACAGAAGCAAGCTGGGCAAACACAATGACAAGAAACCTACAGCCACTTAAGAATACACAATGTTCATTATTAAGCTATACCCTTTTTCAGAAGAAAGCAGCAATAGATTCCTGTCACTGCCTCAAAGATGAACACCCTCTGAACACTTCAGAAAGGACTTGTTATACTCACTCTTTTTTCTAACAGAAAGAACAGGATAAGTTTTAGAAGTTCAGACCATACGGAGCAGAGAGCAGTAATCAAAGATTCACAGCAATGCTACTATTATGCAAAAGTTTAGTTAGTCCATCTCACTACAGACCAGACCACTAATGTTCTGATTTGATTTTGTAGGTGATCTTCCTGTGGGTCAGACACCGACCTCTAGAATACGCTCTCCTTCAAGAATGGACCTAGTCAGTTCCATATTCATCTTTGAGACTATAGAAGATCTGTATCTGGGAGAATATCAACCTGACCCCATTCCAGGATGTCTGCCTTCAGGGGAAACTCAATACGGTATCAATGTAACCTGTTTTTCTTTCTTCCTCTTAAGGCTGTTTCTACATGTTTAAGATTCTGCCACAAGTTCCCTGTGTCTGCTATTGCCATCTGTCCTTCCTATTCCATGCGTCATGGACAGATGCTAGCTCAAAAGCCAGCCACATAATAGTACATTCTGATACTCTCTGAGGCACCAGGAGGGAAAATACAGAGGGCACATTGAAATGACTCCCAGCCTAGGTCTGAATCACACGCAGATGGCTAACATTTTCCTCCTATACCTTTTCCTTCTACATCAAGGAGTATCAGTGAGTAATGAGCCCCCACATCCCAGGTGGGTCCTGGTTAGTACCCTCTCTCTCCCGCCAACTGAGTACGAGCTAAAGCACTCTAAGACAAAAAGACAGAGATGCACTGGCATCTGCAAGATCAAGCAAGGAAAGGGAAAGCAAGAGATGAAAACCTTCCAAGGAGGAAGAGGACTTATGCAGAGTCCCCTGCCAAACAGGAGGAAGTGAGGTAGTTTCTGTAACAACTTCATAACACGTATAACTCAAACTGAGATGCATTTCCCCAAGCCAGCCCAGGAGCTTAGCACAAAGCAGAAGGCTGGTACATGAAGGGAGTAAAAGTCATATGGGGAAGGACATGATGACTCAAAGTAAAAGGGCCAGATCCTCCACAATGTACTCTTAAATCAATGATGCAAGGCCAAAATGCTCTAGCCACACATCTGAACCTAAATACATACAAAGCACTGCAAAGCTCCACTGCTACATCTAAGAAAAGTGAAGAATCTCTCAGGGCACAAAATCAAGTGTTAAGCTAATGAGAAACTCACATCTCCATTCTGAATATATTCCATAGCCAAAATATCCTTTAGGAATTTAAAATCCCCTCTTTGCAAGCATTACTGCAATTCAGGAAATCACCTTCTATAACCTTAAGGCATGTGAAGTTCAGCCCTATAGAAGGGAACACATGATAGATATGCATATGCACAACATTGCCAGCCCCTTAGCAATACTCAGCTTGCCTCCTGGGCAACAGCTGTCTTTTGACCCACTGGTACTGAAGTTTATTTCTCCTGTCTCATGATAAATAAGCAATTTCCTGCTTTGCTGTCCAATTTTTAATTCCTAAGACTTGTAGAGTTTATATCTTTCATCACATTTATTCAGTAACAACAATTTCCCCAGTCCTTTGAAAGTCTCACACCAAAAAATGACCTTCGCATTGAAGGCATTCTTGCTGTTCATACTTAGTTAATGATCAGCAAATCCGAAGTTGTTCTGTATAATCTCATCTCACCAAGATTTGCTTATTTCATGTTCACTATATAGTATTCAAAAACTAAAGCCACTCAGAAACCTTAAGATCTGGTAATTCCAATTTCATTGGAAATTTGAGGCAGGAAAACCACAGCAGAAGAATTTCACAAAAAGCCTGCAACACATTGCTTACAAGAGGGGGAGGGAGCAGTTTGGAGAGACTATCTTCCACAACAAAGCTTACCTTTGTTGGGATGAATTTATACCCTCAAAGCATTAAGCATGTATGTTTTCCATGAAGCTTCAGGAGGAACGAAGGCAGGAGGTCTGAAAACAGCTCTAGGAAAGGCAGAACAGACGCCTCTTGCTCCAAGCAAAAAGGTTGCATATTGTTGCTGTGCTGTCTCAGAAAAAAACCAGTGCAATTTTCAGCAAGCCATTAAAAAAACAGATCCATGGAATAAGAAGGTGCTCCTCTACAGAAAACTGCCAAATTATCAGTCCTGATCTGACTTTGAAGAGCATTCTTTGAAGGCTGTGGAAGGAACACTGCACCTTTGCAAAGCCAGGATTTTTATGAGCTGATGAAGCGGTGGTGAGCTCCCAAGAGAGTGAAGTCTGCCCCAGCACGTGTAGTGCCACATGCAGAGAGAGAGATACAGGCACGTATTCAGAGAGCAACAGCTCTTCTGTCCAAATACAGACTTTGGTTCAGGAGGGACACTCTTCTATGCAAACAAATCCAGAAGTTGAGAGGAAGTGGTGAAAAACGAAAGCCTTGTTCAGTAATCATAAAATACCTGTACGGCCATTTAGATTGAATGAGAAGGCTACTTCTGAGACTCTAGCTTACACACTCACTGCCTTTTCAGACCCTTCCATTTATTTTGTCTGCTCTGTCTTGGACCAGGGCAAGCTTGTGCTCAAACACAACAAACTCTTCACCATAGGCATCAACAGATCCTACCTGCAACTCAGTTGTTTCCATCACACTGACACCAATGGGCAACCTGTTTCAGTGCTGTTAGTTAACACCAGCATCTACAGTGATTTCAAAGTCACTTCAGCAAGACTTACGAGCTTCACCAGTTCATGCTCCGTCCAGCTGAGTTAAATGTTTATGGCTATCTGGAAGTTATTCCTCCTTTACTGTCATGGACACCAAAGATTTCATAGCCATGAGCACAGTGATTTCCCTGAACACACAGTTCAAGATGTCTCTCTCACTACAGAGTATCACTGTTTATGTCCCACAATGCTTCCATATAAACAGGGTGACCATGTCATTAACTTTTTTTTCTTCCTCACCTACCCACTAACTTCTTAGAAAACTAGTTCAGCTAGGTAGGGAACAGATGGATCTGAGTTTGGTCACTAAAAACCACTGAAAACTCACAAGTGCAGATGGCTGATATATGCCATCATTAACATATGGTTTCACCAAAAAGCAGCTTTTATTTTCTTTCTGAAAGACTTACATAGTGAGAGAGTGTAAAAGCACAGATTCCATACCCATAAATACCCACGGTAATTCAAGAGAAAAAACAATTTTTCTGCACTACAACATGGCCACAGTACATTTAAAGATAGGCCAGGTTTTCTGCTCCTCTCAGAATTAAGCTCTACCATTCTGTTGCTGTATGGTCCACTCAAACAATTCCCTGTACGTTTCACACACTCTAGCAAACAAAACCAACCCATAAGGCTCCCATTCGTTACAGAGCTCTTCCAGTTTCACCTTTCAATATGGCAATCTCAGCAGTTGTTGGCTGGTAGAAACTAGGGCATGGGGTAGGGCAGCCTGCTAATTAAAATGTTCTAGTTCTCAGCTGTGTCCCTCACCCACAGTACCACCTTCCTCTCCTCATGCCACAGCTTCCCCATCTATAACACAACTCCTCTCTCAAGCACAAAATTAGGCAACAGCACTGTCATTAACCCACAAATTCCATCTTAAGACTGTACCCCTGCTTTTCCCCTAGCTGGCTGCATGCCACAACCACATTTTCCCAGAATGAAAAAGTGCTCAGCCCCCCACTGAGTAATAAAATAGATGAGGCAGACATGAAGTAACCTCTTCACAGGGTACTCACTTTGAAACATGCCTGTGTCCTCAATATATCCCTTGACTCCAAGAGCAGAATTTAGCCATTTATGAAAATAAATCAGTGCTCCCCCATGTACTTTTGTCTTGCTAACATAGCAGGTTAGTTAGACAAAAGGACAAGAAACTTTCCCCAGGCTCCCAATGGAATAAAAGTAATTATCACCTACACAAAGGGATCATGCTCTGATTAACTCCACCAGCAGTTAGGGTGAACACAGAATGGATAGAGCTACAGAAACTCAAATGTACATCCTTGGCATCTGCACCAAAGGCAACAAGGAGAACAAACCTTTAAGAAGAGGGGAAGAAAGTCCAGCAGCCTTCTCTGTTGCTCCTCTGGGATGAGAAATGGAGCCATCTGCTCATACTCTACAAACTGTCTGCCTAGAGTCTCCCACTGGAGGGTGTGGCCCTGGGGTAGCTTGTTCTTGCTGTGTGCAGGCTGTCCCAGCACTTCTGCTTTGTCTCCATCATCAGGGCTTTGCTCTTGCTGTCCTGCTTTGCCAGGTGAACCCTCCAGCTGCCATGTGAGTTCAGCTGCTTTGTCCATGCTGAAATGAGACCTGAAGGTAAAGATACCGTGTTATTTACAGTTAGCATCATCTCTTACCAGCCAACTGTCCCATGAAACTAGACACTGAAAGTCTTAATTATTGAAGTTGAGGAGTTTAGAAGCATGGAAATGCTGGCAGCCACTGACTCTTTTCCAATTCTGATGGCAAAGCACTCTGCTCCTGGACAAGAGCATTACCACCTTGCAATCACATGAACAAGCTCCCTCCCCTAAGACATGTGTGCATGTGCTATATACAGCTCATCTGGGCTTTGGCAAGACAAACCTGTAAGCCATGCAGGAAATCTGGATTCCAGGCCCAGCTTTGCCACTGAGCCAGATCCTGTTCCTATACTTCAGTCACCCCAACTGTAAAACAAGTCATAACTATTACCATCATCAGATCTGCAACAGAAGAGCACTACCCAAGAGCCAGGTTACACATTTCATTGAGTATGGATGTTAAACTAAGCTGCGCATCTCTGAGCATGCCCCACCTGGAGTGGGGTTGAAGCACTGGCTGGAATAGGAGCTGTGTGAAAAAGCCAACAATACCCCACATGGGTGTGCTGGCCCAAACAGGCAGCACCATTCAGGTCTTCTATCCTGCAGATGTACAGCTCTGTACAAGACGTAGGTATTTTCACTACAACACTACCTGTTTTGCTGATCCTGTAAACTGAAATGGATATGCCTCAGTGAAGGAGCAAGGTGCTTCTAGCGGCCTCATTTCCATCAAATTGAGCCTACAATGGGTCCATCTTGCACTAGAGGTAGAGGAATCCCTCTGGTACCCTCATCTCAACCCCAAGTCCTCTCATCTACTTTCCAGCCCTGCTTTCATCCATAGCCTTCTGGGAGATCACTGACAGAGCCTTGAATCCACAGCAACTCTACTCCTTTGTTGTGGGCTTTCTGTGAGCTCACCCTGCTACCCAGAGCCTACATAATCATAGTGCTTACACCAATGGAAATCAGGCTTCTCCAGTTTCCATCAAAATCAGCCATACACTTACGGGTGTCTAGGACATTGTCTGACTACTCAAAATATGACACATAAATTATCATAGTGCAGGCAGGCAGCTGGGGAGTTGTCACCAAGATGAATGTAGCTCATCACTTTGCTTACCAAGTATATTTTCTTTTAAGAGCCTAGAAGAATCTTTAACACATCATTACACCTCCTCAAAGAAAAACACCAATGTACCTCCATTTCTAGGAAATAGGTTCCTTCTCTACAATACCTCTTTGATTGCCATTCTAGCTTGTCAATAAAAATGCCAAAAAGCAAATGTAACCAAAAAAACTGAGTCAGATCTCCTGCGCTACCAATACATACATCCCTTAAAACAAATTTTAAAAAATTACTATTATGAGCCTGGTTTAGAAATTATGAGCCAACACTAATACTATATTTTGGATTCTCTTCCTTCACCATCCATCAGCTATGCTTACTGCTTGCATCCTGCCACTCCAAGCTAGACAAACCAGTTTCACTTCCCCACTCATGCAGTAGCTCCATACTGCAGAGAGGAAGAGGGTGACATTATCTTGTCACTGTGCACCACACCACCTGCAGCAAGTTGATGGTCCCAGCAAACACCTACGCTTGGATGCAAATGCTGATCCTTCACACTACAGTAGAAGGTAACTTATTCTATCACAGCCCATACTCTGTCCTTTGCTAGGAGACAGAGGGCTATGAAATTTTGATCAGTATCCAGGGATGTCAATCTGGAACTTCCTACCTCAACAACATTTTGTGTTTTGCTGCTGCTGTTTTCCTTAATTATCTGTGTTAAGACAACACAGCCCTGTGAGCAGAAAAAGTGTGATGATTGTCTGCACAGAGTAAACAGGAAGACTCTGTTCCTCATGACTGCGTAGGAGTTACATTTGTCATGTGTTATACTTAACCCTGGTATGGGATTTTGGTCCACTTGAGTCATTGTGAAGCTGTACTGTGTGTTGAGAAAGCCTGGGTCTGGTTCTAGGGGCTTCAGTAGGCATAGTTCAGAGTTACTTTTTCAATGAGGCTGCTGTCACATTCCAAATGGCACCATTCTCTTCCTAAGGGAAATCTCTCACCTTGGAAGCTACTCTTCTAAGCCTAAATCAATGCTAAGTAACAAGTAACTCACTCCGTGTCTACCTTCACCTTGGTCATTTGTATAGAGAAGCCCAAAATCCTTTACAGAGGCATTTTAGAGATGGTGAAACTGAGGCATAGAGAGGTGAAATGAAGTGTTTACGCTGGCCTCAGAAGGTCAGTGACTGATCAGTCAATAGCACTGCTTGAACTGCACTGCACGGCACTGCAAGTGTGTTTACCAATTTTCTCTCCTTCTATCCATAATTTGCTTAGTAGGCCCTTCTAGCTGGTGACACAGCTAAGGCAAGCAGGGCTGGTCACTCAAAAAATTCTCTATGAATCTATGTAATGAAAGAATTCTTCCTCTCTCCACAGAAACTATTAAAACCAGATATGCACACACAACTTCATTAATGAAGACCTAATTTTAACAGACTATGTAAGACATTTGAGTGTACATGGAAATCTTTAATCTCCAGAAGTACATGAAAGCAAAATGAGGATTATGATTTGCTTCCCTATTTACTCCAACTGTCTAGACTACAAGAGGCATACTAGAGGACTGATATTTAGTCAAATATTACTCTGTTGTCTCCACTTGCACTGTCTGCTCTAAATATTCCTTTTCTTAATAGCCTTTTCTTGCATCTACAATTTCATTCAGACTTCTAAATCGATTGAGTTTTCTATTCCTCTTGGAGGATAATGATTCTTCTAGACCAATCACAATATCAAAGGGTCCAGCATTCAAGTATCTTTGGTATTAAGGACAGCTTAGATATTTTGAAAAGGTTGTATATGTTGGGTCTCTTCTACATCCCACCATTTGTCCTGATACTCAGTGTAAATTAACGGCTTATTTCAGTTTTGATAAATTATAAATATCAGAATGATACAAAAAGTAGTGTCTAAATAATAAAGATTTTAAAAGACATGAAAGTGAAAATATATCAGATAAACCTGATGCTGTCATTCAGAAAGTAGTGCCAGGTAACAGAGAGGAAGTGAAACATATTTGTGTATTTTCCCTTTTGTTCTAAATGAAGCTTGGTGAAATCACACTGCAATGTGGCTACGCCTTTTCAGACTAAGACAAAAGGGAAGAAAGGCCTGACCAAAGCTGGCAGAGAACAGGAAGAACACTGATACTAAAAGCTTACTGGCTGAACAAGCATGATTTTTTTAAATGACATTTTAATTATATTTATCTGGGATTAACTCCCCCAGCAGTCCAAAGAATGATCCCATACAGCTACAAAAAACGCAATTTGCACCAAGAAGTTTACTTATACATTTAAAAATAATTTGTTATCAGAGAAGGGCCTCATGGCAAGATGGTTGACCAAAACACAATCAAGTCTCATACCAAATTTCAGAGTTTGATCCACTTTTCATGGTATCTGTAAAAAATGTCAGAAATGTGAGTGTACATGGAAATCTTTAATCTCCAAATGTACATGAAAGCAAAATGAGGACTACAATTTCCCGCCTTATTTACTCCAACTGTCCAGATGACAAGAGGCATTATTAGACTAAATATCAGACCCCTAGTACTAGGACTACCTGCTTTAAATATTCCTTCTCCTAATAGCCTTTTCTTGACTATTAAACCCCAGGATTCTGGCTCACAGCACCCCAAAAATCCACTGTGTGATACCTCTTTATACTCCTTCCTTTCCTTGGCAGCCAAGATAAATCTGTTCATTGAACAGTCATGCCAGTCAATCATTTTAAACACTAAAAACAGTGATTCCACTACCTCCCTAGGAAATCTGTCTGATGCCATAACAGACCCAAGCAGTAGAAAGTATTGCTTGTTTCTTTTAGGAATCATCTTGTCTCACAAATTCTTGTTCTCTCCCAATTCAATCACAAACTCCCTCTTTGTGGCTCACAACACTCTCTGCTCACAGGACATGATAGTACCTCAGAACGAACACTGTGCCAGATGCTGTCCATCTGCTACTCTCTTACCTCTGTCCCTTCTAATCACCTGTTCTTCCTCCCTGAGCTCCCTCTATCTTTCTTAAATTATCTACACCTATCAGTCTTATGTCTAGTGACCATACTTCTTGACATATTTCATGAGGCAAACCTAAAAACATCACCAAAAAGATTTACACTTTGATGTCACTATTTATCTTCTCCAATACGAGGACTGCAATGAATTAAAACAAGTTGCAAAATTCTATATCCTACCCATCCTTGCCAGGTCCATTTAATTTTAAATCCTACGGGGAAGGTATTGTCTCTTCCTAAGTTCTGGCACAGCACTTTATACGATAGGAGCCTAACCTGACCGGTGCCTTGAAATACAAATAGTTGACAAAATACAAATAAGAGAGGTGTTTTAAAACACTTGCCATCTTAGAGAAGGTTGAATACTGTTCAAAGAACAAGTCCCATTTCAGTAGGACACAACCTCTACTTCTTCAGCAATATCATTTCAGCTTGTTTCAAGAAGGTGTGACACTATTACTATCAAAGGAGTTGCATTCATTTACACTAGGACTTCATGTGTCCAAGCATATTTTTACTTTTTGAATACATCTAAGTTGGACAAGGCATTTCTGCAGTACAACCTCACAAATCATTAGTTCAGTTTCAAACACTTAACTGCATTTTCTCTTTATTTTTGTTTGAAAAGCATCTCCATGTAATCCAAAAGTTGCTATAAAACTGACTTAGGCTCTCCCTCATGTACCCACTCCTCATTTTTTCTGTTTTAAAAATTAGCTTCTAAATACCTAATTGGGAACAGTTTCTTCTCTGACTTGCATGTACCCCTAGTGCAGCCAGGAGAAAAGCATAGATATTGGGTATACTTGCTTTTGAGATGTGGTCCTCCTGGAAGTGAAGTAATGCCCCCATCTCAAGAGCAAGCAGAATGCTTCTGGTCAGTCACGAACAATATAATT